ATGCAGTTTTGTTATAACCCCTGTGGGAATTTATTTTTTACTTGTAACTTCAGACTATCACTGTTATATACCTATTTAGTTTGGGGTCCTCCTGTCTTCTCTATCCCCTTGACCTTGTCCCCCCTGTGCGTCTCCCAACTTTGGGTATGCCCGTTGTTATATTTTTTGTTCCGCCTTGTCCTTTCTCTGGCGGTGTCTGTGTGCACCGCTCGGGGGCTGCAGGAGGCTGACTGCATCTGCCTCCTTCGATCCCCCGAGCTCTGGGGCCGCAGAGTTCATCTCCGGCGGTCCCGTGTGTTTTTTACGGTCGCAGGGTAGCTCGAGAGTGTGCACAAGTGCCCAGATCTCCTTTTCCACATGGCCGCTTCACCGCAGCCGCCTCCGCCCACAACCGCTCGCGGCCCCTCCCCCATCTGTTCCTAACTGGTTGGAGGTCTGTTTGAGGGGCTTTCCTCCCCTCTGTCAATCAAGGCCGGATTCCGATCACGGCCGGAGTTTTTTTACATCAGATGAGGGTACCTCCACCCTGCTCAGGGTTAATCTATAACCCAAGATGACGCCACATTTATATATTTATATATATATATTTTGCTGGGCTGGAGAATAGGCTTTGGGCAGTACACCCTGTACTGCTCTGAGGTGCCTGCAGTTTGGATTTCTGTCTTTGGCCAAACATTAAAGTCTGCCAGTTCCCTGTATAGTGCTATAGCACATTCATCACTAGTAGCTGTAACATCTGTGATATTAGACTGGAGACATACTAGCAACTTAATCCAGAGGTATTATGTAAAAATACTGTTATAATCACATTACTACCCTGCTAGTGGGTTTTACATATTGAAATTATTTAACCCAAGGTTTCCCTGTTTCATATATGGGACTCTACACGCGCAGGTGGGCCCTATGGCTGTCGGAACGCTATCACGGGCCTGCTATGTCTGTGCCCCTTTGATTGGCCTACTATGTCTGTACCCCATTAATTGGCCTGCTCTGTCTGTGCCCCATTGATTGGCCTGCTTTGTCTGTGCCCCATTGATTGGCCTGCTATGTCTGTGCCTGTCAGGGTGGCGGTCCGGTGCCCGGGACCCAGACACTGTCCGGGCGGCGGTAAGTGGACCGGGACCCAGTTTGCCTGATGATAAGTGGGAGTCTTCAGCGTGAGAGTGGATAGGTCAGGGTCTGGTGCAGGGTAACCGCACGCCCCCTGGTGTTGAGCACCAGCATTTGTGCGGCCACATACCAGAACCCTGATTCAGCTTATGCGGATCCCAGGAACTAGGAGCTTGGAATTAAGCAGACCTCCCAGGAGCTGAATAGGGAGGCTCTGCAGCAAAAATGTATCCAGTACAGAAACAAAGCAAGACTAGAGATAGGCACCAAACATGAAAACAAGACAAAACTAGGAGAACCCAGAATCAGAGCAAGACAGAAAGCAGAACCCAGAACATGTACACAAGACATGAGGAAAACAAGAACATAACATGGGCATGACTGGACAGGACTGTACATGGACTGGGATTACAAAATAAAACAAGACAAGAAATACAAGGTAAAACAAGAAGAGAAATAACTAAGCACTATATATGAAAATCATGGGTATTTAGTTACATTATATGATTATACATTGCATAACCCTGCCAACAACGCCAATGTACCCCATATCTGGCAGGTCCTACACTGCCTAATATATGCTAAAACAACCAAAGAAGACATATATAGCACTTACCTGCAAGAAAGATCAGAAGCCTTGAGTAGCTGCCTGCAAGAACACTGAAACAAAATGAAACAAAAAGGAATGATAGAAAACAAACGGGTGTGGCAACATAAAACAAACATTTAAATGAATCCAAGAGACTGGGAAATCCAGGGACGGAATAAAAGGAATGAACCCAGAAATCCCAGCATAAAGAAAACCAGACATAGAATAGAAAACCAAAAAAACAAGAAAAACTAAACAAGAATTGTAAAAAGAGTACTGGATACCAGAAGCCATTGCCAGAATGACCCGCAGCTGGGAACAGGATGTGTCTGTACCTATTTGATTGGCCAGCTATGTCTGTGCCCATTCGTTTGGCCTGCTAGGCCTGTGCCCTTCTGACGGGCCTGCTCTATCGGTGCCGAACCCCCTTTTGGCCGCAGGCCTTGGGGAATATCACTGAGAAAAACCCAGTAACCACTAGTGACATGGAGATAGGTGGGTGTCCAGGCAAGCACCGTTGACATACTACCAAAGAGATAGTATGGCAACGGTGGGAATGGTGGGAAGGGTGAAGGCCCTAAGCCTCATGCCTGAAGGGCAAGGTTTTTTTATGAAGTCCCCGGGCACGCAACCACGGTTTACACCAGCCTGGCGGTGGCACATCTCCAAGGACAACTTTGTTTTCGTGCCTTCCTTTTCTTATCGCTTGGGTCGTCGAGAGGCCTGACTTGACCACCTCCGACCTCCCGGGCTCTCGTGGATTGCGGAGAACGTCTCCAGCTTTCCTCAGGCTACCGACGGTCATCCTGGACCCCGCGCACGCGCACGGGATCCCAGTGGTCAGCTGGTAGTTTCCATCATTGTTTCCAAAGGTTGCATTTTCGAACCATCCCTTTCTGTTATTAAGGATGGACACGGCCCGAGGTTGTATACTATCCCATCTGCCATCGGTCTGGTTTACTACCAGTTGATTCCTTCTCAGGCGAGCATTTCAGAGTGAGGTCTCGTGGTCGGAGACAGACCCACCTAAGGACCTCAGTCTTATGCTGATATTAGTAATTGGTGAACCCCTGCAGTTGGTCACCCTGAGTCTCTAAGGGACTCTAGTTTGGATCACAAGAGGGTGCGGCCCTCCATCATCTCAATCAGAGAATGATATTTTATTTTCAGGAACAGAGAGGGAACCCCTCTCATATACAGAACCGCACACTGATTTGTTATTAGAGGGCGCGGCCCTCCCTCAACCTCAGGCCGATACTGAGCTGGATACAGAGGACATGTTTGGAGTGACACATTCTCATAGAGAGAACCGGTCATGGATGTAGACTCTACTGTTTGGTTATTAACAGGTGCGGCCCGCTCAGGCTAACAGCCGGACGCTGACACGGAACTCGATCACATTATAAGAGAGAGCGGCTCTCTCATACACTCAAAGCTCTACGGTGCCATCCATTTGTTCATCACACAATCTTGTACCTGTACAGGACATCGATGACTGCATAGAGGGGCGTCCCTCCTGCATTCATTTAGATCTAACGACCGTGCTACCGATTTCGTTATAGAGGGCTGCATGATCATGCAGGATATACATATTTAGACTGGATCCCTCTATTTTATCTCCTGTAATGGATCTACTGGATCCAGACCACTGTACCAAACGGGGGGAGACTCACGCTTATTTGCACACACTCCTGGAGACGGTACGGCTAACGGATAAACCTCAGGTATTACAAGAGTGCAGGTTTTGGTATATTCTGCGCTATATAAAACAGACAATTGCATTCTGTTTTGGATATCCAGACCATTGCGAAAAAACTGCGCAGACAGTTTTTCCCATATCAAGATGACATGAGATACTGAGACCTTCATGGAGTAAACGGGCACTGCCTTGCTCAGGTAACAAGACTAGGGAAGGCCCACTACCCGGTCTGCAGGTACTCCGTACGCATGGATCGCATGGTAAGACCGGAAACCCCGGTTGTCTTGAGTTCCCTGGTCATTACAATCTTGGGTTAAGATGGCAGGACTGCCCCTACTCCTCTGAGCATATACCTGGAGAACATGGTTCGGAGATGGAGGGCACTCAGTCTATACTCTATATCCCTCACGGGAGCTGTCTTGGTTTGAGTTCGCGCTAACCCACTTTTTCAACCACCATCAAGGAGACCTACGAGACTCTATGGAGGAACCTGGTGTGCCCCGACTCCTACACGGACGTCAAAGTCGGGTCAAAGTCGGGTCGCAACCTACCGCTGGAGTACGGCTCAGGATGTGTAGCAGACTCAGATAGGGCTGCCAACATTCTCAAACGGGACAACACATGATTTGGACGGCCTTCTTTTTTCGCTATTTCTGCTCTCTGGAGTCACCTGTCATGAGCGAAGGGACTTTACTCCTTGCCTGCGTATTGGAGAATGCTATGTTTTCGCGGGACTCCAAGCTAAGAAGGGAGGTATCACTCTAGAGGGAGCCTTTACTTTGATTATCAAACTCATATTCCTGGGCCCCTTGACCTAGGGCCTACTCTAGGAGATACGTGCCCGGACAGTCAGGGGTACAGGGATCTAAGGGTCTCACTATATTATACCCCATCTTGTAGATGGCATGTAGACCAGGAACCCCTACACGAATTTTGACAGGTTGGGCATGGAACAGGATTGTACGATGGGTAACCATACTATTTCACTCTCTCACCACAGCACGTGAGGACTCTTCATTTTTATACAGGTCAAAATCACCATTGGATCTGTACATTTTATCACTCTTAGATGTTGACATCTGGATGGGAATCTCAACTCCGGTTTACATTTCTCATTCCTTTGAATATTTCCGGAACCCACTATTCCCAGAACCGTTCCACCACACAAGTTCAGTTTGGGATCCTGATTGGACGTCCTTTTTGGAGTTCTTTCTCTACCACAGCTGAGGATTTCACAGTCCATTTGGAATATTGGAATCACTTAGGATATGGCTAGTTTGGCCACACTCTTGCCTGCATAATAATTGTATTCTCAGATGAGACATCTCACAGGGTAGGCCATGAGGGAACGAAGGATCCTACGCGGTTCTATTACGGAATAGGTGGTGGACTTAGGTGCATTCCTTGAGATTCGAGATCTACATGCAAGGCCACATCGCCCGGTGACCCTGGCACGATCGGAGGAGCCACCTTACACATCAAGAGTTGAGACTGAAAGGATAAATGCTGTTCTGGTCTCAACTCCCCTCGATTCTCGATCCCCCGTCACCACATCAATTGATGGGAGATCTTGTTTGGCAAATAAGACACAGACACGAAAGAGTGCTCAACAAGTTCTCAATGAGTATATTTTCAGGGCTAGCATTTATACACAGTTTGTCATGCAAACAGTGAGATCTATAGTGTCCTTGTAGTTAATAGTACATACTTGTCGGACATGAAAAAGATAAGCATTTGGATAAAGACGAGACAGGAACATCCTAAGGTCAAGGAAGGTCATACATCCTGTAGACGAAAGACCTTGGTACAAAATACATCTGCCAAAGTCAGCATAATTATTTCAAACATTATTTTAAAGCAAGAAAGAGTTTAACTATTTCATATCCTTACAGTCAGTACTAATGATTATAAACCTTATCTAAGCATAAAATACATATGAACAAGGAAAGTTAACTATTTCAGCTTTCATCCCCCCTCTTTGAGCAATACACTTGCTCATATCATTGATAAGATCTTCCCAGGACAGAGACACTTCCACATTATGGCATTCCCAAGCAATCATGTGGTCTACAAGAAAGAGAAACTAAGCAGGAAAAAAGACACTTAATACTTTTACAGACAGATATATAGAAAATTTATGTTTAAGACAAAATGGAACTTGGGCTTATAGCAAATATATTATTGCAAATAGCTGACATGTTAACCAATTTTAAACAGACTAACCAGCCTGTCATCTGTATCGTAAGCCCTGGGTAAATATGGGCAAAGTGTATTATTCCCAACAGTTATTTTCCTCTTTTGTCCACGGAAGTGGGCGCATATAGTCAAAGTGGGAATAATACCTATCCCCCGTTCAAGGACCGGGGTCTAGGATTACCAGTCCACCCGATGATCTGGGGCCAGGCAAAAAACCCAGTGGCAAAAACTCATATTTGAGGAAAAAGCACATCTGGGGAAAACCTGAGTGGGGGCCGCGATCGTGTTAGACATGTCATCCCCTCACAGTTGACACCACTTGTGACTTATAATACCCGCACCTGTGAGTACATAGCTCGGGTATCGGGAGGAATTGGGAAACACTTCTTACATATTAATTCATGAGATAAATTATAATCTAGCTTGAAATTCTGACAATAATAACCAGGACCTTGCGTCCTATATCTTTTAACCATTTCCCTATTCCAAAGGTCCAGTCAAAACCAGTCATATCCTCACGCAGTTCCACAAAACATGGGAATCCATCCTGGCACACTCAACATATATCAAAAACACACATAGTACAGCTAACTCTGGGTCAGCTAACACTTCCTCTCTCTCTCCGGCTAACTCTACAAAAGTAAAAATAAAAATAAAAATAGTTCAATAGTTCAGCATAGTTCAGAAAAATAGAATAAGTCTTTCACAGAGTATAAATAAATCAGTTTAGACACCAGACATTTTGTTCCATAAAATGGCTAAGGGTAGCAATATGGCTGACAACAAGACAATGTCAGCTTCCAAATAGTTCTTCTTTTGTTTGCTGGATTTTCACCACAATGCTCTGTGCAACACCCCAATGGTTGAAAGGGTTATTACAGAACCAGCGGTATTAGACAGCACTGCACCTTCAGGACTTTCCAGGTTCTTGCGTGCAAAGTTTATGTCCTCATAAGTATCTCAGTTTCTTTGGCCTGCATGGATAATGACCAAACAGATGTAATTGCAAAATACTTATTGCATGGTCAGCCGGAGAGATTGATGTGTAGTCCCAGAAATCAGGTGGCACAAACACTCCAGGACGGTCTCTACAATCATACAAACACAAGGATCAATACAACATCATTAATTAATTACCTAGGCTAAACTCAAATTAGAGACTAAAGTTAAACTCTTAACTAGTGTAACATGTACTTCTCTCAGTTTTGCTTATAATTCATTGAATTTGTCCTTTATAAAATTTGAATACATAATTTCCCTTTAAAATGCCTTGTATGGATGAGAGAAGCACTCACTCTATAGAAATGTTTGTTAGGATGAATATTAAAACACTAACATTTGCATATACATTCCCAATAAAATTTTGTTCCTAAACTTGAACCTTGATTTGATAATCTCAATTAATTACTTAAATAAAATTGGAATGCCGAAGTCTGTCAGTTTTGTGGACCCTGATAACCTCTTTGGAAACCAGTGGCCTCTGATAAGGAAGGGACAGCAAACTGTAGACATATGTTATATTAAGTTGCCCTCACTTGTCAGGTCTTGGAAACACACTTATTTTATTGCAGATGCCTCTAGGATACCACGTTACATATTGATTAAGCATACTTATTATCCTATTTTAGTTATTTCACATTGCGCAGCCTATGCAAACAATGTCTAGGTCCCAACTTCAGCTTGTACATCCTCTAAGAGCCAGTATTAATACTGTTTTATCTATCAAAACTATATATAAAGTATTAAAAACATGAACCATCTGTGTATTAGGCTGAGGTTGTTGGGTGTGGGTATAGCTTGAAAGTTATGGTTGGTATTGAGGAACCTGCCAGAGTGGGAGTCCTTAGCACCGGGTTCTCCTTTGTCTCCTTGAGCACCAGGTTCACCATTGTTACCCTTAGGTCCAGGGGAACCTTTGGGGCCCTGAGGTCCAGGAGCACCAGGGAAGCCAGGGACACCATCAATACCAGTGGGGCCAGCTTGACCAGGAGAACCGGGTTCACCTCAAGCACCTTGGGGTGAATCCCTGCTATCCACAATTAAAACAGTGCTGAAGTTACCACCTCTACAAAAGTTAGAAACTTTGACCAAATCCTCTACCTTTGCCTTTAAAACTTTTCTGATTCAATCTCCTATCACCTCCCAAATTTCTTTGTCTCGCCTGCTTAGGATCACAATCCTTGTAACTGCTACAACATACCTTTTCCTTCTTTCTTTCTATCAAAACAACCTGCTGTATCTTTCTCATGAATCTTCCCAAGAAATTCATTTGGGGTCAAAAAGGGCCAGTCACAGACCAGCAAGGAACAAAAGTGAACAAGGAGGAAGCATATTCTATATGCAGGTCGGGATTACCGAACTCACACCCCCTCTTTGTGTACCACACAGATATAATATTAATAAGCTTTTAAACGTTTAATGGATAGTTAAATTGTGTATAAAAAGCAAGGTTGTCTAGGGGTATATACATCGACAATGAAAGCATAGCCTTCATATAGGGCTTGAAATACTGACAGTCTGTGTCATGAGCATAATGCAGACATGCGGTTAGGTACTTTTCCATTGTTATAATATATTGAAAACACTAAGACTTTGCAAAAAATTTTAAAACACATATTGCTTCCTGTACCTGAGGCCGTGCAAGGATGTAGTTAGGATATATTTCAAATTGAGTATCAAAAATTTAACCACAAAACTATATGTTATACACTTCTTAAGAAAACAAGTTTAACCCGTTAGTGCGTACTTTGGATAGCCTCTTTGCATAATTTGGCTCCTAGTGAGATTATTATATTTATCCTCTTCTGGATCTGCATAATGCTTTCACTTTACCGATACAAATATAATACAGTAGTTTAGGAGATTAAGATTAACTCACTTATAAATTTCCGAAATTGTCTAATCTCCAATAAAAATACCATGTTATTATTACCCCATAATCAATGAGGCATTCTAGATGAATCTTACTTTGACACAAACAATGCAATATACTTTAAAAGTAGAGTTAACTCTGAGCTGGACAATACTCCCCTATTAGAACTCCTTTATGAGGGAGAGACATCTTGTCCATTCAATCCTTTTTATCAGTAAAAGAATGACTTTCAGGATTAATCAATTTGCAAATGGAAATGAAGAGCCACGATTTGAACAGCAGAAGTTTGCGGGGCCCCTTTCACGTGGGATGTAACAAGCGCTTTTCTTGCTCCAGGAGCGATAGCATACAATTGTTTCATTCTAGCCGGCTGGACAGCATTTCACCTTTTGTAAAAACACTAAATGCTTGCGTTAATGATATGCAAATTACTCTGCTAGTTAAACTCCTACACAATGGACAATAAAATACATGAAACACATAACACACCAATTTATTTCAAACCATATAACTCATACTCAGCATCCAATGTAATATTACATGTCATCTCACAAAACAGACGTAGTAGATACACGTATCGGGTACCCAGCAGATATGCCAATACAGAAAACACATTCATGGGCACGCAACTACACACTCTGTGTCCCTCCTAGGAAACACGGGTAGACACAATATGAAAGCAGTCTTAAACTAACACCTCCAAATCTCCATTCCCATATAGCTATACCAGACCACAACACAGAGCCTCTCTGAGCTCATAGAACTACTCCAACTCAAACTACTCTTGGCCAAAACGCTAGTATTCAACAGCTAATAAAACAGTTATTTGCTAGGTTATTTGGCTGGCATTTGTATCAGTATCACTAGACTGAAACAAACTGATTCAAATATAATTTAAAACAACACAGCAACATATAAATTAAACCACTCTCCAGTTAAGCTGCACACTTCACACATTATCACAATCACCATTTACACAGAATAAACAGTTAACAGCTGTACTCAGAACATATTATTGTAAGGTATACCAATTTTAGTTTGTATTAGATTTATTTTAGGAATTCTTATGCATACATGTTTTTTTTTTGTTTTTGTTTTTCTAATTAACGTCATTACTTTAATCTACTACAGTATTGTATATAAAGAAAGGATCCATTTATATAGCGCGCTCATAACTCAAATATTTGTCTGAAACGTCCATTAACTAATCTGAGATGATGCTGCATCAATTTTAAATCTTACAGAAATTTTGCAAACATCTGGACCAGATTACACAGACATGGTTTCACCCGAATCTTTCAGAACTCTCAGAGACTTAAAAAAATTTATACTATACCATGTTTTAAAGGCATGGCAAACCTTAGACCGGTCAGTCTCCAAGAGCCTTTGTAACACAGGTAAAAACCTTTGTCCATGAGCTCTGATCCAGGCTATATACCACAATTTAAAAGAACATATAATGTGAGATATAGAAGACACAAAACATATGCAGTAGCTGAATCATTTAAAGCATCTGTAGCAATAAAAAGGTTAGCTTTCAGCACAAAATGAAGCATGTGTTGGACCGCTGAAAATGTAAATGTTGCTCTCTTATTTACAAACAAATCATATTTACAGTATGGATCCTTTGCAACAAACACACAGGGCAGGGAAGATGTGCTGATTGGTGTTCTATACAATTAATCCCATACGGGGAATTAACTTTCAAATACTAATGAAGTGACTTTTTGTCTCAGTTATAAAAATACTGAGCTCATCATGCAAACAATGCAACACACTTACACTATCCCACTCTCATAATAAGTGTAGTGGGCTTATGGTATTAAAGTAATAATCATAGCAGGCACACAGATCCCATGTGAAATAACTTGCAATAAAACAGAGTAATAAACTTATACTTCTATGCAACAGAAAGAATAAAACAAAAG